GATTCATGACACATATTCTTGACACTAAGGAGCTTTTCTTGCCTCTGTCATAGCCACGTGTCCTTGGTCTCAGAAACCTCAATTTAAAACTTGATACCAATATATCTCCCTTGGCTGCAGCCCGCTCGGTCATGAGAGTACTTTCTGTGACCCCACTCACCCGTTTTAATGCATACTCCCCGACTCATAAACCCTCGACTCCTAAGAAGACTAAGGACTGACAGATGGACAGTCTAAACTAGACTAGGAACTGCGAGGACACCCCACATAAAGCTTTCAGGGTGATAGGTTGAATTGGACTTTCAGCCAAAGAATGTCAGACACGTGGTGACAAGTACGACATAAAGAGTAAAAAAACAGGCTTGTCCTTGCTGATATGCAGCCAATAAAGACGCACATTTAATGCACCATCAGTTGACCAAATGTTTACTGCAGCTTGATAAGTCACAAAGTTATAGCTTTGAATGCTTGGAGATCCGGGCTTTTAATGCTACCACGTACAAGAAGGAGCATTAAATACTTGGCAAGCCGAGCAATCAATACTAGAGCATTCCCCATCAAAAGTAAGGGGCAAACTGTCCCACCTCTGAAGACTATCAATAGTCTAAATTGTCAGCAATGATGACCCTTTGAAGGTATAAATAGTCTACAAAAACACATTGTAAAGGTACGCGATATTGCCTTACAAGAATCATACACTGTCTTCTTCATCCCCTCTTCTCTAAAAGAACTGATTTGACCGTCAGAGGGGATATATCGGAGAACACTCCAACACCCTTCTAACCTATTTTCTGTGTATTTAGGAATTTCTCACGGATCTTCGTAATCAGTTTGACGACCCCCCAACAGTAATTTATCACCAGTTTTTAGGCTCCCTTTGTCCCTCTCAACCTATTTCTTGTTACCGGATCTACCGTTCCGACGGGTCGAATCTCAACCGGAGTCGATCGGATACCCCCAAAAACAAATCATTACAACAACCTAAGTTTCCTTTGTCCCTCTCAACCTGTTCTCATTCTGTCAGAATCGCCTTCTCGACGAATCAGAGTTCATCGTGGGAAAGATCTATTCTCATTCCAATTATTGTGCAAAAATCCGCACACACATTGTTCTAAAACATAACCTGTTATTTTGTTCTCAGGAATTGTGTATTTTATACACACTGTCTTATTACGTAACTATGAGATTAGTGCTATGGTTCTATGATGTTTTGTAATTACTAGCTTCAGCCTCAACTTGGATTCATGCTTGAACTATTAAATGAGCCTATACAAGTCGAGCCCAAAGTGTGTTTTTCGGGGCAAGCTTGAACAAAAATTCAAACTCAATAAGCCCGAGTAGAGATAACACAGTTGAATTATGACACATCCATAAAAATAGGGCACAACCAAAAAAAAACAAGAGGATAAAAGTACATTTTGTAAAGTAATTATAATGTCAGTTTCGCACTGAGAAGATCAATGCATAATTAAATAGGCGCGATTGTCGAACTCTCAATGCGTTAATAGTAGGTAGCCTTCAACTGCGGTTGATTATGAAGAAATTGTTGAACATAACATCACGTGGTATGACGAAATCAATCAAATAGATTTTCAGCTTATTACTTTTCTTTTAGATTATTATTTATCTTGATGTGATTGTATCTTTACCCTAAAAATGGGGCACTATATAATGAGAATATGTTTTTTTTTAATTTTTTTTTTTTGGGACATAGGGAGGTGAGAAGGGGCTTGAATCTTTGACAACAAGAAGACACAACACAACTTGGTATTTTGTTCTCTAAATAATGATAACGCTTTAAAGTTGAACAACAAAATATTCTTAATAACCATCATAAGATGAAAAAATGAAAAAAAAAAAAAATAACTATATAGGAAGTTCATCAATACATTGAAAATTTGTTTCTCAACGGAAAGGTGACGCCAAAGCAAATTCCCAGTAACTATATAAACAAAGCTACTATAAAACTTTGACGAAATTTCGGCATAAACATTGTAAACCTGAAGAGGACATATTGAACAAAAACTATAGAAATGATAATAGGTAGACGTGAATATCAATTTCTCATTAATCTATCTCATCAATTTTTGTTGTGCTGAAACACTCATCTCCCACCATTTACTGGCACGATTATATGATCCCTCATGCTATCATACCCCACATTAATTGTGCTAGTAGTACCACCATTGTATCCATAGACATCTGATGTCTCGCCAAGCAAGGACTCAGTCTCCTCTGAATTCAATTCAGCTTTAACCCATGGATGCTTTGTCATTAGTCTCAATCCCTCTAGTTCCATTGCTACTTCCTTCATGGTTGGCCTATCCTCCCCTTTTATATTTAAACACCTTTTTGCTAGCCTAGCAACCTCATTGAGCTGATCAGTATTTCCTTCGTGTACTAAACGATCCTCAAGAACCTGGGACAAGCGATCCTCCTTCAATGAAGAAAGAAAATATATAGCCAAGTTTCTCTCCTTCTCTGGTATGTCGAAAGATAATGGCTTCCTTCCTGATAGTAGCTCTATGAGGACTACTCCGAAACTGTAAACATCACTTTTCTCTGTCAATTGGCTTGTTTGCATGTATTCAGGATCCAAGTATCCAAGAGTTCCTTGAACCATTGTAGATACCTGTGTATGATCCAGAGGAACCAACCTTGAGGCACCAAAGTCGGACACTTTTGTGACATAATTATCGTCTAAGAGTATGTTGGTTGACTTGATATCCCTATGGATAATAGGGATAGAAGCTGCAGAGTGCAAATATGAGAGCACTCCCGCAGTTTCTGCAGCTATCCTTAAACGGGTGTCCCAAGAAAGAGCAGATGTGTCGATTTTATTGTGTATGTGTTCAAAGAGGGTGCCATTGTTAATGAATTCGTAAACTAGTAAGGGTACTTCGGTCTCCAAACAACAACCCAACAGCTTGACCACATTCCTGTGGTTGATTTTGGAGAGAACAACCACTTCATTGATGAACTGCTCAATTTGGGTTTGATCTACCAGTTTTGACTTCTTGATGGCAACTAATCTTTTATCAGTTAAGTATCCTTTGTAAACAGTGCCATAACCTCCTCGCCCGATGACTCTGGTTTCATTGTAGTTGTTGGTTGCCATTTTAAGTTCTTCAGAGGTGAAAACTTTTACTGTATCAGTTGATCTTTCTAGTCCAGAGAGTCGCTGTTGTAACATAAAACCACCATTCTGCCGAAAGAACTTTTCTTTGAGCTTCATCAAATTTCTTTTCTTTAGTCCGAAGTACAACCAAGAGCTACAGACGAGCAGCATTATAACGCCAATACAAACACCTATAATTGCATTCCCACACATAAAAGAAAGATGATGAATTAAGTTTTCCTTTCTATGGAACGAATGTAAATTAGTTTAGACATCATTTTAAAACTCATTTCAAAATCAAAACAACAGTGATAGTAACAATTGATAATGGGCAATCTTTCTTTTGACTACCACATACTCTTGTCTCAACCAAAAATCAAGAACTTCTATATGTTGGATGTATATATAACTTATTAAAAATATAAATCCTGCATAAACAGAAGTTCAATGGAGTCTCTCATCCCCTAGGAAAAATCATCGTACATTTGTCGTTAGTTTCAAGCATACCCCTGATTCTATAGGTTTCAAATTCAATGTTTAGTTTCTGTGAGGATGAAAAGGGATTTAGCTTTCAATAAAGTATGGTGCTTGTGCAAACTTGACGGACTAAAGAGACTTCAAGTGTGATCATGTAACACACACGTGAACACATCCGTTATTCAATTTAAAGTGGAGTTTTTAATCAAATCATAGTAAATATAAATTGAACACTTAAGGGACTAAATTAATACAATTAAAAGAATGAAAACTAAAGTAACACAAGTTAAATAACTATAATATAACACAATTAAAAGAATGAGGACATTTTGCCCTGGGAAAAATTATACAGCAACTAAACTTACCTAGAGAAACCTTAATCACAGCTAACTGCTCGTCTGACTGATCGGCAACGCAACTATCCCCATGGTACCCCTTGGCACAGGTACATGTATAGTTCCCTACGGTATTAGTACAGATCCAGTTTGGGGATGTACAGGGATTTGAATCACATTCATTTTTGTCTGCAAAACAAGTATGAGCAAACGGCACCCATTTAGAAAGTACCTATCAATGGCTATGCAATGAAAGGTTAGGATGCACGATATCGAGAATTACAAACCCAAGAAGTTTTAGTTACATTACATTTGGATTAAGGGAATACTAATAGAGTAAGTTTAGTTATGACAAAAAAAAAATAAACAGAGATTGGAATTGACCCTAAAATGTTAGGATTAATCTCAAATAACCACATTTTAAGATAGGAAAATGCTACTTATACTTAAAATGATGACTTGAATTGCTAACTTGACTAATCACAATTATTAAATAGATAGTGAACTTATAAATAATGGGACTACAGTTATATCAACAACAGTGATTTAACAAATCAAATTAATATTTTTAATCTAAGTAGAACATAATGAGCACAAAATTGAATTGTAACTTTACCCTCATTTTCTATTAATTTTAGTATTGCCACGTAGGGGCCGTTTAATATGCGAGTTTGAGAGGGGTTTGAATTTTATTTTAGGAAATAAACCCCTTAAATTCATGTTTGGTAACTCATATTTAGCCTACGGTTTGGAAACAAGGCCCGTTGAATGACCCGATCATGAAACCCATATATTTGTGTTTCTGAAACCCAAGGAGGTGAGTTTTATATATGGATTAAAGGATTTAATATATAAATGACATTTATATCCTATATACCCCATATATATAAATTAGTTAAGGGACAAAATAATTATTTATATATAAATATATTATGATAATAATCATATATCCCTGCACATATCAAACATGAATATGAAGAATATTAAATGTTGAATTCTATCTTTGAGTTTTAACTTTAGGTTAAATCCGAGTTTGTACAAATGAATCTAAACCCTTTCCAAAAAACATATCAAATTGGCTCGTAGACCCTTGCCTGCAATGGCCAAAAATTGAATATGACATACGTACCTTGGCAACCATCGGGGAGGTATGGGTTACCTTCGTAACCATCGGAGCAGTTACAGCGATACCCAGAAGTGCCCTTGACGGAAGGTATACACTCGCTATTCTCGGCTATACATGCATAAGTACTCGAGTTCTTCTTAGCCACCTCACAAGTCTGATCTCCAACAGTCCAATCAAGCACTAGAGGAAACTTTTTAGCTCGTGTTCTTAGCTCTTCAAAAGAGGATAGCGAGAAGTTGAACTCACCTTTTTTGACCATAAACGCAAAGTTACATGGACTGAATTTCGTAATATTTTGGTTATTGGAATATCTACCTAACGTCACATTAAGGCTCCGTAGCCCTACGGGGATCGAAGTTTGACAACAGCCGGCGCCGGAACAGGAATCTCCGACGATACTATCTTTCTGTTCACATATGGATATGCAACCGGCGGTGTACCGCTGATCGTCTTTGAAGCCAGTAACAATTGCAGAAGTGTCACAACCAACTGCAGTGAACTCATTTGCGGTGCTTGAGACGGTGAATTCGCCCAAGGTGAGCCAGGGAAAGTAGTTATTCTGCTGATCGTAACATTGATAGCCTATATTGTTCAAGATTTGCATCTGACCTTGCTCGATACTTATTTCTGTAACATTTATCCCACCTTTGCCATAAAATGCTTTTGGAGGGTTGAAAGAATAGTCACAAGTTATTAAAAAGTAGCCGTTTAGAGAGCAATCTTGTGTCAGGCCGAATGGGTACGGAATTCTGACATCCCCACAATACTCATCGCAACGGGGTTTGGTCATAACTGTTGTTGTCGTTGGATTAGCAGTTGATGATGATGATGTTGGGGACAACAACAGTATTGCAAGAGTGATCAGTTGCGCTACCGTCACATGCAACCACTCCATGATCGATCACTGATATGTATATAACTATATATCTTTTTTTCTCAGGTGGTAAAGTGTCGATCTGTCTGCAGCAGATTGCTGAACATGGTGTTTTGCTTGGCCCTTTACTCCTTTTGTAGCCACTCCGATGAAGAAAAGGTCTGCAACCACTATTCAAAGTTTGTCCCATTTCGTACACGCTTTGTGGTTGACCCACAAAATCATGTAATATCACGAATTAAGAAAAAAAAAAGGATGACACGTTTAAAAATTAATCTCAATCGTTGATATAATAATGTATTAAGTGGTATAATTTTATATTAAAAAATGTGTAATTATCACAGTTTACAATAATGATATATTATACCATGTCACTATAACATCATTAAATTAAAAAAGTAAGTCAAATTTTTAAGTTCAAATAAGATTACTTCTAAAATATTTCTCAAATTTGTGTTTTAAATTTAATTACAAGGATTATTGGTGAAAAAAATAATATGAATGTTTGAACGGTGTGTCAACTTATTTTTTTTAAATGGACTAATTAATTCAATTTTGCATATTGATTTAAAATATAAAACTTGGGAGACGTTTTGAGGAGTTAATCATGTAATAACTTTACACCATATAATTTGAATTAAATTATTCGCATTAATTCGTTGCATGTTTCAATATTACACATATGTAGTACACAATTAATTCAACATGGTAACAAATTTGAATAATAAATTTGATCCAAATATAATTATTCAGTAACTTTTTTGTGAAGTCAGTTTTTCATTCTATTTTATCTAAAGTTCAAAGAAATTTCATGTCTATTTTATCTCTTACCTCATTTTTTTTTTTTGCCATCTTTAAGAAAATGTTACTTTTACAATCAACTTTAGTTTCGACTCTCTTCACACATGAAATCGAGACCTTATCAAATGCTTCTTCTGACTCCTCGCTCAGGCTAATTTAATTACCAAATTTAGTTAATTTTTTTATAATTGGAACAAATTAACAAATAATAAATTAAATTTATAAATAAAATCAATAAATAATATTACTCCTCAAAAACAATTGGATAAAGTGAGCCTTCAATTTTCCCGCAAGGCAAAATCTATAGGGGGAAAATGCCCATTTTAGATGGATCCACATGAAGTTTACTTGACTCGAACCTTTTGGCGGGACTCATAGGAATCTTTCTCGGAAGCCACGCATTAATCGTTTTTGAGGAAAAGTTGTACATTGTTTCACCTTTTTCCTCCTAATAAAATTGAGTGGGAAAAAAAGCTAGAAGTGTTTGGCACTTGAAGAGAATTAGTGATATACCTCTTCTGGACCAAACAATTTTCTGTGCGAAAATTCTCTCCTTTGAAAGTTTCAAATATTATGACACATTCGTATACACAATTTGACTCATACAAATGATTAATTAGTCTTCGCGCTAATTACGTGGTGAATAATACGTGGTGAATTCGGTTTAGTCTCATTCGTATACACAATTTGACTCATACAAATGATTAATTAGTCTTTGCGCTAATTACGTGGTTGGGTCTTTCATTTACGCCTCTCTAGAGGGTTTTTAAATAATATTTATTTAATTATGTTGTCTTCGGCATTCAATATTATGATTGTTTTTGAGATCTTTCATGCGTCCACTCATTATGGTGTTGCCTTTGACATGACCTTGCCCATTGTGTTGACCCACAAAACCTCGTGATATCTTTTAATAACGCTAATCAAATTTACTTGGATTAATAATGGATCTTAACATTTGAATAGGGTTTATTGTTAATTTAATAAAAAAAATTGGTCCAAATATAATTATTTAGTAATTTTTTTTGTAAAATCAATTTCTCATGCAGCCCAATCTAAAATTTAAACAAATTTCCTTTCTATTTCTCTTTCCTTTTCTTCAGTCTTTTAAGAAAATATTACTCATATATCCAGGCTCAATGTTGCCTGTGTGGACACATATAGCTCTTATCACATGCTTCTTCTAACTCCCCGTTCCGGCTACTTTGGATATTAAATTTAGTCAATATTAATACTTAGACTAGATTAACATATAATAAATTAGATTAATAAAAAAAAAAACTTGAAGTCTTCAAACTCCTTATTCAGGCTAATTTGGTTAGTAAATTGAGTCAATATTAATGCTTGAATCAAATTAATAATAATAAATAAAATAAATAAAATTTTTCAATATATTAGATTTACACAATATTATTCCTCAAAAAACTTGGATAAAGTGAGCTTCAATTTTCCCCTCAATACAAAAGCTTTAGAGCAATGCTAGGAACTTAATTCAATATTGTTATTAGAATAATTGGGAATTATAATATTAGAAGAAACTCATTTTCAAACCACCAACGGTAGTGATTAAATCTTTATATTAGTTTTCTAAATTACCCGAATAGTATTTTTCAAACAAGTTGAATTTATGATGTTTACTTGGCTTACACCTTTTGGTGGGACCCATAAGACTCTTTCTTCGAATCTGCACATTAGTCGCACTTGAGGAAAAGTAACCATTTTGATACTCCTCTTTTCCTCTATTGGCGTGGAAATAAAAACTATGAGCGGCATAAAAACTAAGCAGTCTTCTAGACCAAACAATTTCTTCCATTGCGTGTGACATTTATCAAACTCTTTCTTAGAAATGCTTTGGGATGATTAATGAACGAGATGTCGGAAGTTATTAAAAAATCTTGGTCTAAATAACAAGTTTCACATGAAGTCGGGGGTCGTGGTTGATCCACATAATCACTTTCTCAAATTTATATTTTAAATTAAGACAAAAAATATTATTTATATCTAATTTAAGAATTTAATTTGTGGAATTAAAGTTAGATAATAGTGAGTTTTATCTAATATTGAGACTAATTGGTGATCTAATGAATACAATGAATTAGGTTGATGAATTAAGCCCAAGTAATATTGCTTAATAAATATAGATAGTTTGATCGGTGACTCCCATTATTTTCTAAATAAAATTCGTCAATTCAACCATTCAAACTGATTTAAGCTGTAAAATTTGAAAACCATTTTGAGAATTGTAACAATGTTAATCATGTAAAAACTTTCAATCATATAATTTGGACTAAATTTGTTGATAAAACTTATACTAATTGTTAAATTAATAGTGAATTTTAATATAAAATAGAGTCCGCTTTCAATTGAACAATAATAAAAAATTTATTAATAAATATTATTAATAATTTTTTCGTAAATGAAATTCTATTGAAGTTAAAAGAAACTTTCTTTTTTGTTTTCATTTTTACTTGAATCTCCTCATAAAATATTGCTCATATAATCATATTTCAATTTCAGTTTACTTGACACATGGAATGGTCACCATACCAATGTTTCTTCTACCTCCTCGTTCAAGCTAATTTGGTCTATAATTAAGCCAATATTAATACTTACATCAAATTAATAAATTGTGTCGATTTTAAACAATTTTTTTTTTTTTGATACGAAACGGCAATCTTTGCTCTTCAAAAATTTGGGTAAAGTGAACCATTCGATTTTTCCACGATGTAAAATCCAAGATAATAGGAAAATGGCTCTTTTGGTTGGACCCACATGAAGCTTTAATGATGGTGTGGGACATATATGACTCTTCCTTAGAGTCTGCCCGTTATTCATACCAGAGGAAAAGTAAGACAATGTCATTTCCTTTTCCTTTCATATTTCACCATCAATAAAATTGAGTTGTGGAATAAAAACCCCTTTCTTCGACTTGAAACAAAATGGGTTAATTGCGGTGGAGTTTCCCGATGTATGCGTTGGAATCATTAAAATAAAATTGAAAATACGAGAGGCTAAATTAATGAAATTAAAATATTGAGTATTAAAATGATACGTAATGCATAACATTAGGGACGTCACTTATAATTTACCCCAAACTAAATTGGTTGGTGGAATAAAAACTACAATTCTTTTGAGTCTTGAAAAAAAAATTGTGATATTGTGCTAAATAGTGAGTTCCACACCTCTTATATACCAAACATAAGAAAAATATAAATTTTTTGTAACCCTATCATATTGTACTTTCATCAATTTTAGTCATTCAATTTTAAAGGGCAAAATTCAGTTTACTCCCTTGTGATTTGGGTGTTTACACATGACCCCTATATGATTTGGAAATCAGAACATTATCCCCTTGTGCTTTTGGACCGATATGCACAATTAACACCGTAAGTAGAAAAGATAAAATGATTTTAGTTCCCTGAACTATTCATCATCTTTTTCGTCTCTCTCAATTGTTGCCTAATTTTAATTTTTTGAAAAATCAACCAACTACCCAACTTTACAAGTTTTTCTCTCTCTCTATAATGCACCAAACTTCCTCAAACCAATGTCAATATCCTCCACTCTCAACCTAGTTTTAAACCTCACAGACTTGTTTCCTTAAATAGCCCCCATGATCCACTAATTTAACCTCAAATGTGATCACAAACTCATTTTGACAAGTTATGTACATACCAGATTTTTTTTAACATTTGGGCCAATTTTGACCCGTAATTTCTCCCTCGTTTCTCAACCTTTTTGGGTGATTTAAATGCCTAAATTTAATCTGTTTCTACCCTCTTTCCAGCCATGTATTTAGTTTGTCCAAATCATGCAAAAGGTAAGTGAAAATCGAGCTCCAAAGTAACGGGTTCATCATTTTTAAAAATTATCACGATTTTTAATTCAAATTTTCACCCACCAAACCTCATTTTTTCTAGATTCTAACTTCAAAAATGGATTCCTTGACCCTAAAAATGGTGGATTAGGCCACCCTTCACCTCCAAAACTTGAAATTTTGAATACCCAAAAATTCAAGTTTCAAGCTTAATTCTATGTTGCCCCTCAATTTTTAATTCAATGTTGTCTCTCTCTCACTCTCTCTCTCTCTCTCTGACTCAGCAACGTCACTGTCCCCTCTCTCTCTTCTTCATCATCTCTCTCCATCAGCAACCCCCTTTCCCCTCTCTCTTTCTCTAAGTAGCAACCACATCATTGCGTTACTGCCAAACAAG